CAGTAAGAGATGACTTTCTGGGCCAGCAGGTGGCGTGGTGGTTAAGGGCGCTGGATTCCCATATGGCCAACAGCGGTTTGAGTCCTGGACCTGACAGTTTGTTTTCTCCCACCCCCGCTCGCCCCTCCGTCAAATTTAAATAAAAAAATAAATAAAGACAAATAAAAGAATTCTTCTAAAAAAAAAAAACACTAAAAAAAAGAAATTACTTTCCCCCAAAATACTTAGTACAAATTAAATAGCTGGTTATGATGACATTTCAACAGGAAAAAAGCAATTTGGTGTCATGGTGTCCTTCCAGAATTACTTCTGTTTCTTGAAATTCGATGAACATGAAAAACCCATTTCAGACTCATGTTTCAATATTTTTCAGATTAAAAAAAAAAAACAAAACAGTAATTTATTTAATTTCATGTGTTGTTGCTGTTATTACTTATATAACAAGAGAGAGAGAAATGTTAAGTGAGAAAACAAGCCATCAGGTCTGGGACTTGAGCCGTGCCCAGCCACGTGGAAGTCCAGTGCCTTAACCACCATGGCACCTGCAGGCCTCTTTCACATTCTTATTCTAAATTTATTCCTACTTTCAAATTAATTAATTCAAGGGCTAATTGCCAAAATCCTAAACTGCTATTAATTTTGTCAATCTACAGGAATTGGTATGAGCACACATACAAAAATATAACCCTACATTATTTGAAACATGTACCACTGTGCCTTTCCTTCAAGAAGACTAGGTTATTTCTGGAACACAGAAGACAGGCACAGCCTCTGAGGTACAGCGTCCAGTAAGGTGCTTCTACAGTCAAACCCTTGGCCTCGTGGGTTTAAGAAACAGGCCAGGCACAAGCTCCCCTATGCCCGGGACCCTGGAGGGCTGGAGAAAGGGCATCATGGTGTGACCAAGCCCTGCAGAGGGTTTTCTCTTGTGCATGCTTCATGGTGCACAAAATAGAGCAAAACGAAGCCACAACAAAAATATCTCTAGAACACAGAAGCTGCTTGGGCCAGCACATGGCCTGGCGGTTAAGGTAGCCGGATCCCTCTTGGCCAACCATGTAGTGAGACCCAGACCCGATGGCTGGAGAAATATTCCAGGTGCAGGTGTGTGCCCAAAATCCTGAGAGGAGAGGGGCATGGAGAAGTGACTGCAACGTGACTGTGCCCCATGGGGGGTACTTCCTTGCTTCCCCTCTCCTTTCCACCCTCCCTCCCTCCTTCTCTCTGGTTAGCACGTGTCTCTAGTAAATTTTTTAAAAAAAGGAAGAAAGAAACGATACAGAGATGATTAGGAAGCTGCACCATCCCAGTGCAGACAGAGAAAGAGAGAATTACCCGCCCTGGGGTGGCCACCTGCATTCCTTCTCCACCACTCCCTTCTGGGGATTTTGGGCACGCATGTACACATGTACACATCAAGTGTGTTTTTCAAGCTGCCGGGACCATACTAGAACTACCTTCTCCTCCATTTGCCTCTCAGGATTTCAGGCATGCACACACACGTCTGGCGTGATTTTACAAGCTTCCAGGTCTAGTATTTTTTTGATAATTATTTTATTTAACTTTATTATTATTACTACTATTAATTTCCAGTTTGATCAGAGAGAGACAGAGAAGACAGAGAGGAAGTGAGAAAGCCAGCCACCAGGTCCGGGACATGAACCGTGGGTCAGCCCTGTGGGAGTTCAGTGTCTTTAACCACCACGCCACCTACCGGCCCCCCCAGTATTTTTTTAAACATTTCCTCTGCTTCTCAGACCCTTACTCTGTCCATACGGATAACAGAAACAGACATCAGTATTGATTGCTATGCAAGCATCAACAGCTTTCACATTATCCCTTCACACTACCTTCTAGAATCCTCCCACCTGACCTTCCAACCTGCTCATTCAGCCTCTGCTACATCCGTTCGGCTACTCCACCCACCCTCCGAACTCCAGCTCTGTGCATAAGCTCCTGTCCCTGTCTTCCCTCCATTTCTGAATGCCCT